CACTTCAGATTAAGGAGTAGCTAACCTATAATCTGATATGTGATGAATTCTTTCTGCATAAACAGGTGAAACTGTACTGATCCGCATTTTGTGAGTTGATTGCTAAACTGAACTTTTTCGAAAGAGGCACCTTTTCTTTGGTTCTTAGTAACACGAGTGAAGAAAAACGATGGCTTTATACTGTCGGGTGAAATCAGCGGCATAAATATGCATTTGGCGCTCCCAAGAGTATATATTAGAGCGCAATCCTTTTTGCGTATCCTTTTCTTTGTGATCGTACCATTCAGAGCGAAATCTGCTTCAAGTTTTTTTTTGAACAAGTTGTCTAACTCCAGTGCGCTTGACCAGCAAGAACAGCTGCAAGCACTGTTGCTAACCCATGCCCAATCGTCACTCGTGGAGGTCAACTTCCAAATATCAATGGGTAAGGCTGTGACCAGCATGCCAGTCATACGCTAGTACGCCGCACATCAAACGTTATTCATATGGACTATTGGCGCGTAACTGCAGTTACATGAATCTATGGTAAGTCACCAACAACGAACAAAATCAGGCGCTTGGTTACGGTGGCCGCGACACAAACATAAGAAATTGAGGCTTTACCATGTCTTCTGACATCCAAATAAAAATGATATGGTGTTCAACAGTTCACCACACTATGACCATAGAACGCTTGACTTGGAATTCGCAGGAGTACATTCTAGGGAACCATTGCAAAATCGTATAACCAGTACGTGGACATAGAGCTTGCAACGATAATCAAATAGCAACGAAAACAGACTACGTGACTACTTGAACGTTCCTCTATGTTCTCTGCCGTGAAATGGCCAGAGCACAGACGATTAGAGAACGGCGCCTGGCTCGGCTCCAAATCCCAAGAAGGAAGGTGAGAGCCCTAGACTAAGCCTAGGAGAGAGCAGGGACTAAGCTTGAGTGTGTCGGATCGTTGTAGCCATAAACCGCCTTTTCAGGCTAGAGCATCAAAGCGAAGCGGAAAAACCGAGTTCGAGTTGCCCGTAGAACCGCAAAGCATCTAGCATTTGTGTGGCAAGTCGTTCCAGGACCTAACGGGGAGCGCAGGATCTGCATGGTTATTCGCAAGTGCGGCGCGATGATTGTGATCTTAATTCAGGGCCTTTTTTCTTCTAGCGTTTTCAACTTGCTCAAATTCTACCAGTATTCCGCTCGTTTGGTTATTGTTTTCATATGTTTGATGTAGTCTACTGTTCCACAAATTTGACTTTCCTATTGCCTACTCTTCCATTTGAAGAAAAAACTGCTTGGTACTAATATTTTGTTTATATACGTCTCAATGGGATCGATCACTGGATTAATCTGCATTATTATCCGCGGTGTTTACTTTTTCTCGCAGCAGGAAGGATATTAACTTGACAATAAATCAATCTTAGCTTTTTCAGACGTTCCAGATGTTTTGGGAGGAGGAAAAGAAACTCGGTGAAACAAAAGAGGAAACAATCGAGTCCTACATTTCTGCCAATAAGTTGACTGATATTTTGGAACTTCCGTACACACTGCAAGAGTTATGGGGAGGAAACAAGAAACTTATAGAGTAGTACGTTTTCTTTCCTGAGTGTTTGGCAACACTCGCTTTCTTTTCACTATTGCAACTTACTTTCAATAAATATCTTTGAACCTCCAATTATTTTGTGATTACTACATAGTTTGCTGCTTGCGACAATAATGTGATTACGCGAGGAACGTTTTTACCTTCTAGTGTTTATTTCAACTGCTTTATGGCAGTTTTTGTAGGCGGACCAAGACAGGTTTGCTGGTATTATCGGGAAAATAACGCAAAGGAAAGTGCAATTTAAGCGCTGTTTTTTTTTTCAAGATCCATGAATTAATGGCGTGAATTTCGGTCTGTGTGAGCTTTATTTCTGGTGACCATGATCTGTGCACATGATCTGTCCTTCGCCGTGAGCGTTTTATTTAAGATATCCTCGAAAGTGGCTCTTCAAAGAAAAGTTCATGATTTTCAAATGTGTGATATTGATTTTTTGCTAGAAGTGAGTAGCATGATCATACACTTTTGGCAGAAATAGGTCTTGAGTCAGCCCATTTTAAAGGAGGAATTCACGATAAGAACGAAGGTCAAAGAAGGGGAAAATTGCATAGTTGGGAGACAGGCGGACCTCCTGAGGGTGCTGACCGACGCGCAATTGGCAGCGAAAGATTTGACCACTGCGAGCTAATTAAGAAGAAAAAACCATTATAAACAAAATAATTGATACGGTTCGTTTCGCTCCTTCCTCAGACGAACCTTATTATTTCGTCAATCCCCGGAGCTCATCAGTGAGTTGGGATTGGCGAAATAAAGACACAGGGGAAAGACGAATAAACCTTGATGACGTACTTATCATGCAGAGGAGCATGCAATGAAATTAATTGTATATTGACTAAAGTGAATATAAATTGATTAAAATATGTAAAAAATTATAAAATTAAAAAGGTGGAAATGTTTGTAGCTGTCCACTGAATTAAGGCATAAGCTATTGATTGAGTATTCCTTTAACTAGTTTATTAACATTTTTATAATTATTAGCCATTGAGAATTTGTAACATATAAACTTATTTTTATAAATGCACTTAACTATATTAGATATAATAAAGTCCTCATGATAACCATTTCCTAGTAACACTCTTATGAACTCTGTTAGTTTATCAGTAAATGTGTCAAATACGGAACAAGTGTTAGCTATTCTAAGTGTTTCAGTGTATATAACGGAGCCTTTATTATTTATGGAGATATTTGTGTCATTATGTGGAATCTAATAACCTTGAACTGAAATCATCTGCTTTGTTATACAATCTACTTATAGCATCTAGCATGTCTCACTCTTGGGGTTGGCGATGTACGCCCACCGACATCTAATCACTCGCCGCAGGTCTATACGTGGCGAGTGATTAGATAGAGAGAGCGTAGTGTTGAAGAGGGCACAGCGATGAGAGTCGCATCAATGCGCAAATCAACGGGCAAGGAAAGGGTCCCATTTCTCGGGTTCTGGGCCGTTATTTCGATGAGATAACTTTCCATCGTGGATCTTGACTTTAAGACACTGAAGCAAAAAATATGTAAAATTTGGTGCAGATGCATGATCCTCTCTGCATGATATGGTTTTTGCTCGATTTGAAGCCATTCAGCGATCATTCGAGGCAAACCTTGTTTCGATACTTCTTCCAATGAGACCTCACTGCTTCTTTTCACCGTACGTAATTTCATCATGATGACCAGGCAAACCAGATGCTTTAGCACCTTTACTTCACCAACCTGAATCTAAATTAACCCTTTGACGACCGTGTGGCCCGCCGGTGGGCCACACTTTCGCTCGGTGGCGACACGTTTTTAGGGTTTATTTTGGCATTTTTTATGTTTCAAAACTACACAAATACATTATCGAATTCGCGGAATAATGCGCTAATTACTAATAGTGAAATTGTTGGAGAGTTAATGATTATTGATGAAAAAATTTAGAAAGAAGTGAAGTGACGCATTCATAACGGCGGTCGTCAAAGGGTTAATAATGACAACGAGTGAGTGACACCTACACTGTTGCTGATCACTTTGCTTGCAACCTCATTTCCCAATAAGGAACCATGATCCCCTGTCGAGGATTTCCTCGACTTTATCGTGCACCCTCATCGACCCGGCAACTTGGTGCACAGCTTGAATTATATCTCCCTCGCTTCTGGGCCGTTCGGCAACAGAGTTAGAAATTTTTGTCCTTGACTCCGTACGTATCGGCTCATGTCCCACCACAAACTTTAACGGACCTGTTCAAGTGGTTTTTGCGTAAATACTTCATTTAGTGGCAAAAAAAGCAGGTGAACCGTTTCATAGTAAATATTAAGATGGTAACAGATTTAGTGCAATTTTGTGGTTATTATTAAAAACATCATTGTTAGGTCATTTCAGTGCTAGTGGTTAGTTGCACATAATAAATTTCTAACTGGCAGTATCTGAATTTTTATAAATTTCAGTTTCTGTCGTGATGATGTGCTCATTAGTCTCGCCAATTTTGCTCTTCGGCCGAATATTGACATGTCGCAACCGATCAAGTGCCATTACAAGTGAGTTTTCCATCTGTTTAAGATGTGCTCAAATTGCTGCCATGCTAGACTAGGGGTGAATGAGCGTGAAAGGATTATCCCTAATTGTTGATTATTCGATTCAATACACCTCTAATTAGGGGGATAGTATAATCACTGCTAAGCGGTAGAGTTTCGCTTCGACCACTGGCATAGTTTCCTCGATGTTTTGTGAAAACATGCTCGATGATGCGCATATAAAGAAACAACCTACACAATAACTTGCCTTTGCAACAGCAACCATTAATTGGAGCATGTACTCAGTGCGCAGCAGAAATTGCGGTCGTATCGTGCTACCGTGAAATTTGCAGCGTCTAAATGATTTTTTTTCCTCAAATTTTCCCTCATTCAACACAAGTATGCCAGATCAGTGAAGAAGGCGTGCCCTCTAAAATTCGAAATTTGAACTGACTTGATTCCCTAGAAAAAAGTTGCTGTCGAGAAGATATTCCACCGAAGATTTTTGAGCGTTACTGTATATGTGAATATCGAGTTCCGCCAGATTTTGCACTAGTATTGGGCTCTTCAGTTTATTGGGTACGATTTAGGTATCTGGAGAGAATATTATTACCCTTTCAGGCTTCCCAATGCATGCGCGGAAATTTTGACGGTGCGCAACAATAATGAGATTACAAATGCTTTTTTGGAGGTAGGTGAATGAATACGTTTACGTTTGAATTTAGTGCAGCACTACGGTATAATATCGACACATAATTATTAAGTGTGAAGATGCTCTAAAAGCCGTGAAAGAATTCTTCGATAGTAAGTCGCCACCAAATCATTTGTTATGTGGATTTTACATGAGAATTGTGCAGCATTTGTTTCATCGTTCGGTGGACAAGGTGAGTCTGTGTTTTTGATAAAGGCTGTCACAAAAGTACTGAAGGACCTATCTATTTTTAGGCGTTGGGAATACTTTCGCCATGTGATTTCATATCTAAATGTGCTGCCAATTTGCGAATGGGCGCTGTGAGCGAATTATTGCAGAATATTGTTTGGATACCTCAAATAGCGGAGGATTTCTTGAAGATAAAGCAGGTGAGTCACTAACTTCGAAATGATTATTTACTGCGCTTTTCTCGCGCTTTTACGAGTTCAGTCTCACTCAGGTGGAGATTTTTGTAAAAGTAAAGGTAATAAGTGGTGAAGGCAATCAGTGAACAGCAAGTAATATTTTTATGCTGATTAGGTCACTTCAGCATAGCTTATGCTGGGACTAAATCCCGCAACTATGACACAAACCAGAATTTCCCGTCTCATCGTTCTAAATATGGATTGAATTTTCGGCTCCTTGTGTACCGCATGATGCATGTAAAATGCACCGTCATTTTGTCTTTCGTGCGATTACCATTTTACCATGACCTAATCTTGAAAGACAATGTTTTGACTGCGCCGGCTGAATGAAGACCTAGATTGTTGGTACTTTTTTGAAACACCACCTGGGACCCCTATATCTCTTTTCATTTATTTTTCAGTTGCTCCTTTTTCCTTGCTAATCTCTTCAATATACACTTTATCACAGATGTAATCGGAATCCTTTCCTTATATGACCGCTCATTAGGGGTGTCGATTTGTCTTCTTTATGTATGTATATAAGTCCGTTTGTCCGTCCGAAAATGAAGTCATAAGGAATCCCGTGTAATAAACAAACCGCTAACAAAAGCGCTGGACTCGCAGGGCTTGCGCTGTTTCACAATAGCATGATTATGATTACACCAGAGCGGTTACTTAAACACCCTCTGAGCACAGTTTCGGTCATTACATGGTGCTGCAGGAAGGTCGGTAGAGGATGAGTGGAGGTTAAGGAGGGTAGAAGGAGAACATTCACCAACAAACGTAGGGAATATAAGGATCGGGATGTCATTCTAACGTCATGTTTGTGATGATGCCCCAAGAAGTGTTGTGCAAGAGGTATTCGTGTCACAAGCGGAATAAAGCGCAGCTGAAGGTAAATCTAACACAGGGAAGATCCTGGCACTTGCCGAGGGACCAATCTGTTGAAACATGAGTAGCTCCACTTCTCTGTAGATGTTTAGCGTGGTTATTTCTTTTCGCAGGTTTTTCTTCCTTCTTCTTTTTCGTAGATTATTTCTTCACTTACAATAAGGCTAACAGTAACCTCAAATTTCTCTTGATCTGGAAACACCACTGATGTTATATTTCTCTCCAACATGTTCGCCTATGCTTTCTTTTCTATTATTATTCGCTCTACAGCAGCCTAATGTGTTTTCGTTGAAGGATGGGGAGCATTCTCGCAGACCTTCCCTATCCTAGCTTTTGTATTTCACCAGGTTCATACTTTAGTTTATTTCTCATGTCATTTTATTCCTTTTAACTTAATATATATTTCTATGGTTAGTATCCTTCAGTATTTCAGTATTTTTACTTTTAGCTTAACTGGGTCAAGTTTGATGTTCCAATACTTATCTTGCCGTGGCTTACGGCTTTCGACTTATTTTCGGTCTCTGCCGCACTTTAGTGTCCACTCAAAAGCCAGCCGAAAACGCTATGGTGTGCGGTAGATGAAGTCAAGCTCAAGTATTTGTGGGTTAGCTCGCCCAAGAAAGCACATACGGTCTTCTCAATAGGTCACATCCGTCTGTAGAAAAGGAACACATTGGTTAAAGCTGACATTGCGTCTCCAAAGCACGTCAAATTTCGCGACATGAATCGCGTTGCTATGGCGTACGCGCGAGATTTCCGGAATTCACACAAATTTTAGAATGTTTCCTAATTTTGATCGTAAACTGTAGTTCTCCACGCGACGGATTGCTCATTGAGTCACCCTGTGGCTACCGCCATCAGAATGTGAAGCAGTCCGTGATAGCCTACCTCAAGTATTTGTTGATGGTCAAACTCCTATAGATTCGCCACACACAGGTTTTGAAAAGTCGAAAATTTAAGCGCGAGTTGGAATACCATTTGCATCCAGTGCCTCGTCATTTTGGGTTACAATCACTCTAATGCCCAATGATCTGATGAATATTCACCGCAAAGTATCAGGTTGAATAACTTTACCGGTAAAAATGATCTCGGCTGCTGTTAGCCTCGCCCCGTCTTGTGAATTTTTTGTTTCTAGTGGTACGTGGAGAATGGACTCTGCAAGAAGCTTGTGGAGCAACTTGCACCGGACCAGCCTTTATGTGTGCACGAGAATGTTATGGAAGTCTTCTCAAATCTAGTTCGGTAGTCCTTTGCTTTACTACTCGCTCGTAGTTTTTGTAGTATTTTCAACCAGGTTTGGTGAATACGGATTTTTGTTTGATTATAAATGTTCAAGAAACACGAGAGATCAAATGTATGCGCTCGATATCAAAAGTGATGTTCTGAATGATGAATTACAATCGGAGAGTCTCGTCCAGGAACTTCTAGACAAAATGCTATTGGTATTTTTTTCTCTTAATTATGAATATATTTTGAGGCCTGGGAAGTCACCTGGCGCCTTCCCGTAAACCTTTGCTGCATCCCAAATTCTCTCTTTTTTAGCGGAACGAAAATGGCATCCTTTCAACATCTGTTACCCGGAATGTCTGCGAGATTCTCATAGCACTATTAAGTTCAAATCACATACTTTTCCGGCCAAGCCACACTCTGTACAAAGAGTTCAACGCAGAGATACCTTGGGTGGGCGGAAACCCTTCGGCGGTCTTAGATGGGGTAACAAGTGAGATTGCCAAGGAAGGAGTTGAAAGGGTAAGCTCCTAGTTTTATTTGACTTAATGATTGCATTGTGATGACAACTCTTCGTTTGTAGTTGTGGTGCCCTGACTCCGAGCGAACGGTTGAAAAAATAGCGTCAGCCAGAGTGTCGGAAATGGTTCAACTAATTATTGAAGACCTTGAGGTGCTCCTACTGATTTCTTACTCTTATGTTTTACTGTATCACTTGAAATGCCTTTATCTCTTCTTATCACCTTAGTCCAACTCCGATCGTGAAGATGAAATTTGGTCATATGTTCTCCGAGTGATAATAGAGCTATGCGATACGAATCGCTTGGAAACCCATACCGCTCTTGTGGAGCAATTTGAAAAAAGCGACATTAAAAAGGTGCGGTCGTTTGTTTGCACATGTGTGATGTTATTTTGGAAGTAAAGTTATTCATGTTTCAGCTTTTCTCACTAGTGTGGAGTCACCCGCGTTGTTCAATTTTCCATGGCTTTCTGCAGCGAATTATTTCTTTCATACTCTATTCTTCTACCCAAAATGAATCTCCTGCTATTACCTATTTGTTCAAGGTAAGATCTTACAAAAAGTGTGCTGTTACACCTCGAACCTCGAAAGACTTTTGTTCATGCTGACCAATGTTGATTATTTCTTTTGTGTGAGGGAGGATCCACTTACTTTTTTGTTACGGTCTAACAATGAGGTGAACTTGATGACACCCATTTGTGCGTTGCGATGCCTTCTTAAGCTATCAAATACGCTGCACAAAAACGGAGAAAGTAGATTCGTATGCAAATATTGAATTTTTACCCCACCTAACAATGAATAGCCGCTCCAAACCATTCCAAATGGATGTGTTTCAATGTAACTGTGCAGCATTTCTTTTAGACTTTAAACTTGCCTGAAATCATACGTTTTGGCGTTGATCCAAGATGCGTTCTCAAAAAGATCGACCTATTCTCTCTCCGCACACATCATATTCATCTGGCACTTGCAGTTGAGCAAGCAATGAAATCATCTCCTAATGCTCGAATAGTTCAGAAATTAGTCCAGGTATGTAATTTGTTATCTGCTTTGTTATTTGTCGAGAAATTATATTTTTTAGGAGTGCTCTTTCTGGCCAGAAATCTTACCAAAGGTGGACGACTGGCTGAGCTGGAATCTGCCGGATCCTGAAGTAGCTAATGTTCGTCCGTTGATTCAGCATGACACTATAGGTAGGAGAATCTGTAATAGTGACATTAAAAGCATCATATTCAGTGTAGAAATTCTACGTCATCAATGAGGACTTTCTGCATTCAAGTTATATGACCGCGACCTTTTTAGATGAGGCACTAGATGAATTTGAGCGGCAAATCGTTGGTCCTCAGCAACATGTTCTGTATGAGTTCAAGACACAGACAGTTAGCGTTCCGATGACTGATGTTTTTGACACTGCTCTGGGTGAACTGCAAGTGAGTTCGGAGACAAAGGGGTGAGTGTATGTTCTCAGCAAGCACTTTTCAAACGCTTTTTTTTACCGCTTTCTACAACATCTTTATTTCCCAAAGACTTCATTTGATGACTGTTTTCCAATCGTGTTTGTAAGAAGTTCTAAAGTAGGGACGATTTCCATGCATGCAATCCAGTAGGTGTCCTATTTTATAGTAGGATACCATTGTTGTATTATCTTCTGCAATTTTGTGGAAGCGCACATTTGGAGTAACCAGTTATGCGCTACACGCTACCGCGCGCATTGAGTAGTGACCCTTGCAACCACTGGAAAATAAGATCACAGTCAACGTATCCGGCACTTAACTGTGAAATGCCTCAGTTGATGGTATTTTCCACAGTTTGTATAGCTTAATGACCCCGCTACTCAATGCGTGCAGTTCAGTGGCAAACTGCTCTCTTCGGTGCACCTCGCCCATCGATGGCTTTCGACCCTCCTCCGTCAACCATTGCCACCCCCCCCCTTTCCCAGGTCTGTCTGAAGCGATTTGGAGGAATTGTGGCAAACTCCGCCCATATCGTTCACGCCTAGCTCACCTATAGCATTGGACCCTTTCTTTTCCGTCATCCGCTATAATTTTCCCGTTCTCCGAGTGAGCAAACGACGTAGTTTTTGTTAGCAAACTCCTCCCACATTGATGCACTTTAAGCCAACTCTTTAAGCCCATCATTCTATATTTAACCTCCACCCTTCCCTAACCTCAATTCGCTTTTTCGCGGTATCTGAGACTTCCTCTGGAACCGAATGATGAGGATTGGAGGAAACGTCGGTTACCTAAGGATCCGCCCATTGTGAACGGGCCTCCGCTCACGTCATGCACATTGCTTTCCTACACTATTTTTTTCTGCTTTCTAGGCAGTCTACCTACCGAGTTATAATTTTTTTGAGCGCGGACTCTTAAGAAAACGCTGTGCCCATCGCAGGTGGGTCTCCCTAAGGCTGGTGTCAGAGTCCGCGATCCGTCGCAGGTTTCGATTTTCGCGATTTGCGCGAAACCTGCGACGGATCGCAAATTGCAAGTGCCCCATTTGAACATTTGAAACACTGAATATGAAACAAGTGGAATCATGAGCAGTCGTCATTCAGCCATCACTATCAAGCAGAAGTGGCGGCAGGATTGGAGAACACCTTGCAGTATTGATCGGGCACTTGTGATTTCCGTGACCCGTCGCGTGAATCGCGCAAATCGCGCAAATCGCAAAAATCAGCGAAACCTGCGACGGATCGCGGACTCTGACACCAGCCTGATTCGGTGTGCCTTATCGATGCTTTCGCTCAGTTACTGTTCATTTCGATGCGCCATGCCTCTCGCGGCAGACAACATTGAGGAAAGTTCAAGTAGCTACGTAACTACTCTTACTGCGTAATAAGTCGTTATAATTCTGACTGTTTACTGTGCACTATTGTACCGTTCAGCGCTATCGCAAGGGGGCGACGGACTTTTGGCTCGTCATAGCTGACACGCGGCAAGTCGCGTGGCGCTCCAAACGAGGCAAGTCTTTGCGAGCTTTTGCAATGGATATTCCGATCGCGGATAGATCATGGGGAGAGGATTTAAGTGATCGAGCCGACTACTGTGCTTGAAATTAAGCCTTAGGGAAGGAAGGGATTTCGGGGGAGGTGAGCAATTTGTGTTCTCCCACGCATTTCTCCCCTCTCCTAGGCTTAGTTCAAGTGGTACCTACCATCGGCCCTGTTTTGAATGTTCCGCTGAGAACGTGGGCACTGCTATCTGCCAAGCATATATAGTTGACATAATCTAGCTCAGTAAAAACTGCTAATTTTCGTGTGTCTTATTCGTTTTGTATGGTATTAGTGTCATTTCCATGAAGGCTCTCCGCTGAAATTACTCTCATCTCACTCAGCTGCATTCAAAATTCCTCGTGCGGAAATTTTTCAACCCTTCAAAGCGCGGAATCGTGCCAAGTTCATCCACAACTTGTACACGCTTTGACATGTTGAATTCTATTGCAGAACTCGCCAAACCTTGCTTATCCATTGCCGCGCATCCCGCCGCGCGATTCGCCGCGTGCCAGCCCGGACGAGCCAAAAGTCCCCCGTTCATCACAAGGTACGGGGTTCTACGGTGAAATGCATTGGAAACCGCATGCACCTTTTCTTTTCGTTAACAACGGAACTAAGTTTCAGGCGGCTGAGGAGATTCAGAGTGCCTGCTCAAATTCAACTTCCCCTGTAATTTCTGTTCCTCCCTGGCCTTGTTCTTAGAAGATGCGTCCATAACTTACGATATCCATAGTATGCCATTCTTCACTCTCTCCATAAATGGGAAAATTGAAATGTTTGATTTTGTGCCTTATGCGCACACTCCACGCAAAAATCAAAGCTCACGTAACTGGTTTCCAAAGTTTGACGGGAAACTTTTCAGGTTCGCAGTTCACAATCTTCGCGTATGTAAAGTGGATATGAATTTGGAAGAGAATGACGTGGACGAAAGTGATTTTGAAGCCATGTGTGACATGAAGAAGTCATCATTGCTGGGTGATTGGCCTATGCAGGACGGAGATCGGTCAGGTCGGTGGATCCTCTTTAGTGATTTAGCTAAAATATTATTTCCTCTGTTGTAAATATTCGTTTTCCAGCACAGCTGGTAGCGCCTGATGATGACTGGGTTGGAATGAGGAAGTCGAACGGTAGCATGGCTGATGATTGGCCGGGGATGAGCACTGGGATGAAAGGCGAGCAAAACACCGAGTTTCAAGTGCAGTGGGATCAGGCCCCGGCAGCGAGCAGTAAGTATCGAAACAGGACCATTGAGTTCTTTGTCCGCAAAAATATAGCAAAGGATTAAGCGGTTGGATTCAATAACTGTACGAGGGAAGAGTTGCTCAAAGTGGGTGCAACTAGAGATCGCTGGAATATGGGGGCTGGATTTCTGAACTCATGGCGTGCCCAAAAGGCAAGCTACATGTGAACCCAGTCATCCACCGCTAAGATTGGTTTAAGATGCGCTTACGATAGGTACTGACGAAGAAAGGAACCCATGTCGCTATGACCGTTCAAGAAATGATGTGTGGTAGCGTTTAAAAGTCGAGAAACGTTTTTTATTTTCGATCTAGCGCAGTCATGAAAATTGCCTCAAAGTGATAGGATGCAAATTCAAATGTGGGTGATGGGCGTCTCACTTCCCGGAACCGAAAGTAATTGAAAAGTACGATATTTCCTAAAGGAATCGCGCGTCAAAAGTTTGGAAACTTTTTGTTTCCCTTATCATTATGATTCCTACTCTTCAATGTTTACTTGTTTCTGTTAATTTTAGTTTAATTGAGTATGTGTAATTTCAAAATGAATTCATGTAAAAGGGAAACATTCTCTCGATAGGAGAGGTTTCTTGAACCCTGTAGTCCGAAATACCAAATTGACTTTTTTTGTTTTTTCGTTTGATTTCCAATCTCTACGGAAGCATATTGAATTTCTAGCGTGTCAGAGTCGAGCCAGCATAAAGGGAATGACTCTTTTCAAAAAACACATCCTCACAAGCAAATTGGCTCTTCTTAAATGGCCATCAGACTCAGCTATTTTGTCGATAGCCATCGCTCTGCAAAAGTGCAAGCGATGGGCGTTAGCTCCGCCCGCGATCGATACCGATGTTGACGGCAAGAACGCGCGACGGGGCACTGCTGGGCGAGTGTACCGGTCATGCCCTTCGCTTGCACATTTGCACTTTTGCTGCCTTTTGCTTTTGTCTGCTATCGCTCTGAGAGAGTGCGATTGCCGAGCGACAGCCGAGCGATGGGCGATCGCGATCGCTCGTCGCTCGACACAATCGCCGAGTCTGACGGATTTCTAAGAACTTCGAAGCAAGACAAGCGAGCGTCGAGAGAAATTTTGAAATAGGTGCACAGTATAGTATAGAACTTTACGTTGCGCATAGCGAAACGAGGTTGGATGAAGCCTCAGGACAAGCAATGCCTGTGATACTTTTATAGGTTGAAGGAATCCCCTTTTGTGAGAGGGGGGGGGTTCGATGAGAATGCAGCTCATTAGAAGTCAAGGAGAAGTATTCTCTGATATACAAATGAAGAAAATCAGGAGAAGCGGTCCAGTAACCAAGAAAAAGGGGCCCTTTTTCCGCCCGTTGATTTCCACATTGATGTAAGCCACATCGCTGCCGTTCATCGGCAACGCTAATGTTCTCTTTTACGGCGAGAAGTTACCCACCGGTGGGCGGACAGGCGCGAGTGGCGTGAGAACCTCATTAATGCCCGCTGCATGCTTATGATGCAAGCTGACAACTTTGTGTCCACAACAGGAGACAGGGTGCTTAAAAAGCGCTGCGAGCTTATTTTGAAAGCGAAATGCTTGGAACACTTGAAAGATGCGGCATTTCTGATCTTATCACGTGAACAAAGTTTGCCTAACGCTGGTCTCACCAGTAAATTCAGCTATGCGCCATCCTGTCCTCGACGCTTATTTCCATCCGCATCCACATTCAGGAATGATTGCAGTTGCATTTAAGTGCGTAATTGGCTTTTACTATGAGCAAGTCAGCCGATCTGTGTTATTATAAGAATTGGAGTTCGAAATTAGCGAAGGAGGGGGTTGCTTGATAGAAGCTGTGTGGATAAGCTGCTTCCAACATACATCGCTGGATATCAGCAAAGCATGCTGGCAACAGCTTATCCACGCAACTTCTATCAAGTGCACGTCACTTCCGGTGACACGCCTACCCCAACTTTCGGATATCGACTGTATACTCTGCTAAAATATTGCTTTCGTTTTTGGTTCTTTTTTTTCTATAAAAAACTTCACTAAGCAAAGAAGTTATGAAGCTAAAAGTGGTTATTTTCTCTGTGAATTTCGCTAGAGGCTCTTTTGGATAATGACGACTTTCCTTTGTCAAAAAAGCAAAAAAATGGGTTGAAGAAGCTTTTTCGTCAATACCTGGTTTTCAGCTTCCGGAAACTGGTCTTGCTCTCCACAAGATAGCAGCACACCAAGAAAAGTCATGAATGATGAAGAATGGGCGGACTTCTCAAAGCTGAAGACAGATCAAGGTATTCCTCCAGACAATTTCAGCGACTGGCCGGGTGTTGACAAGGAGAAGGTGTGTTATCTTCAGAATAAAGAACACAATTTCCTTCTTACTGCCAGCGTTTTGCTTTCTTTGTGCTCCCTTTTTGCTCACGCCCTTTTAGCGTGCAAATTGAAACCCATCATCGAACCAGGGGACTAGTGTTGGCTCAAAGCGAGAGATTACGATAAAGTGTCTGTGCAGCGTGGAAGTACATGCACCAGTGGAAGCAGTAGTCAGGGGCCAAGGAACGAAATGTTGGCGTTTTTGTGGCCAAAGGTGCGCTAGCTGCAGCGTACTGGGCTTGCCATTCCTTTCTGAGCTCCGCCACGGCCTGTGCTCCGCCCCCAGCAGCAGCGTCCTTCGATTATCATTTTGATGAGGTATTCCGCTTTGAGTGCGTATCCTATAACTTTCCCATGGAACGCGTTACCAATCAAAGCATGGCCTTTGCTGGTATGATGGTGGCTATCTTAACATGTGCAAAAGACCTCTTATTGGTTGCTAGCTCGTCCATTATCGGAGGTCAACGGGAAGAAAGGGGTCCCATTTTGCGCCTTCTTGACGGATTTCTTTGCTTTTTTCGCCACTGGGGCATTATTCAGCATCTCCACTTCCACTATGAACCCAGTCCAATCCTATCGTAATCCCTCGCTAAGGAAGAACTTTGTGAAGAAGTGGCCGATGTCAGACTTTGCGATTGGAGCGATTTTGCACCAATTGCAGGAGCGACGGATCGCTTGAGCGATGCGAGCGACGGGAGATTTACACCGCCGACCACCGATAATTCGGCGCCATCAGTTAAATCTCCCGTCGCTCGCATCGCTCAAGCGATCCGTCGCTCCTGCAATTGGTGCAAAATCGCTCCAATCGCAAAGTCTGACATCGGCCAGTTCGATCATCGGGCCACCGGCCATGGCTGTCCTAGTGCCCATTTGATCTTCGGGATCCAGTCCGGAACAGTCTAGTCGGTTCACCGTGGAATTAGTTCAATTTATACGAAAGAAATGAATGGAACATCCCGGGGTGAACGGGGGAGGGCAAAAATGGCGACGTGAATTATCTTCGAATCGCACTTTCCAATAGATGTAATGCAAGTCCATCGACAGCAGTTGTTTATGCGTTTATGCAAGTGTATGTGTTGTATACAAAAATGGGGGGAATTGCTATATACCAGTCGGACCAAGAACACGCTGCAACATTACAAAATTGTATGAAAAGAACTAAGCAATGGGAAGTTTTGAGCAATCCGAAAGAGTTCTATTACAGGGTTCCGACTGGCCAGTCTCGGTGAAACCTGAAGGAGTAGATCCGGTTTTAGCAGGTTTCGCAACTGTTGTCATGAACTCCTCTTTGGATGAGCGTGTTGCAAATGAAAGCGAATGTTAGTTTTCTTAGAATACCTTCCCCTTTTCAGCAGTATAGGTCGCGTTCTGCCAAAGCGCCTGCAGCATCTTGATTAGATCGTAGCAAGCAGAGGTGGCTGTGGTTCAATCCTGGTGATAACCACATTCATCACTCGAAACCAGTATGTAAATGCATCCACAATCCAAGAGCCGCATGTGACAGTTTGGCAGAATGCGGCCACATTAGATTATTCCATTAGTTTAATTCTTGTGGAAATAGTTCTGAAATTAAAATGTATTTGAGCTGTATTTACTCTTTGTGCGCTAGTCAACCCGTTCAATATAATGATTATGATGACTGCTGATTTCATATGCTAAGGACCCTTAGATCATTATATTGCTGAGTGGGTAGTGTTCGAGAGGCAGTGTGACTTATCACACCTATTTCTACTTATTTCTCGGGAGCAATCGGGTCGTTTTTGTTTGTTTTGTCTTGCATATATTAGTATTATATAATAGCAGGCATTTGAAGACATGCCAAAATGGCGATACATATGCAAAGTTGGCGAAAAAAATTTCCAGTGAGCAATAATTCCCAATGCCTTCCTTGCTTTACTTCTCTTGTCTTCACGCACTTGACGAATCCGGTCGAATGTATTTAACTACTTCCAAAACTTCATTCCTTGTTGATATAATTAACTATCCAATAATGTTGCTAATAATAATAATAGTGGTTCATTCCATAAAGGTTACGGTTTAAAGTCTCCATGTGTATTAATTTGTGGTTGTACCGGTTTATTGATTAGGAACCATTCTTGACGTTCTGTATCCTTTTTCAACGTAAAAGATATTTTGCAGTTCTTTCGGAACACTTTGTCGCCGTTAGATTTTCGTTGAGGTTTTCCCGTGTATTCAAGAAATTGCAACCTGTTCTGCTCGCCCTCTTGGCTGTTTTGAAATTCTTGAACGTTACTCATTGTTTGTTGTTGTCTTACAACATTGATGGAAAATAAATGGCTCATGAACTTTTTGTTCAGTTGTCATTGAACGAAAAGACGTTTTCGTACGTTGTTATATCATACTGTTCTAAGGATTCAACTCATAATATGTTCTCAGTTTTGTTGTGGGTGTAATTTTTGGCAATAAGCTTTCAATTTACAAAATGTTCCTTGCTATAGTACAAAGGATTGTATCCGGCATGGCGGAAGAATAGAGATATTCGGTTGTCACTGCCCAGAAATCTCAAAAAATTGATTTGGGGAGGTGATTCGGTCAATTGGTTGGAAATGACCTCGAAACTAAGTGCTAATTAGGTTATAGCTTGATAAAAACCCAAATAATTAGCGAAACTAAACCTATGACAATGCAGTAATAGAGTACTATGCAATCTTTATTCATGGAGTACCATTGTAATCGTTATATAAACGTCTTATGTCTGGCAAGGAAGGTTACCCGCTTGGCCCGAACCCAAGTTGGACTAGGCTGAATTAGAAAGTCGACTCTGACAAGGGAAGGATACCAGGTCGAAGTGGCCATTTGTAACGAGACATACACCACTAGATGTGTTTTTGGACGCTGATCTCGAATCTGCTCTCCAAATCTGCGAAACGATTCTCTGAACGTAGTTATGAAGCGAGATAGTGCAGTGGCAGCGGCCCGGGCCGACGAACAAGAGGTCGTGGATCGACTTCTTGGCGAGTTCTCACTTTTGCTTTTCTTGAAAACATTGTTTAAGGAACTCTTATCCATGCTAAGTCATCAGCGATTGCCTATCTACAAGTGGAAAGAGCTGGCGAAGAGCTTCGAACACTGTGCGCGTCATTTGCAAATGACCGTCTCTGGCACCCGTAGCGCACGCGTCATGCACTTTCTTGCCAAATAGATGTGATTTTCGTGTTCAGCGCATCAAACTACCCCTTCCGACAACTTTTGGTCCAAATCCAAAATTTTGACCTAAAGTCGAAAATGTGGGCACACACGACCGACAGGACACGGCAAATGACGCGCACAGTGTTCGAAGCTCTTTGCCAGCTCTTTCCTCTTATAGGATAGGCAGTCGCTGATGATTTAGCATGCATAAGAGTTCTTTGAACAATGTTTTCAAGAAAAGCAGCTGAGAACTCGCCAAGAAGTCGATCTCACGACCTCTTGCTCGTCGGCCCGGGCCGCTGCCACTGCACTATCTCGCTTCATAACTACGTTCAGAGAATCGTTTCGCAGATTTGGAGAGCAGATTCGAGATCAGCGTCCAAAAACACATCTAGTGGTGTATGTCTCGTTACAAATGGCCACTTCGACCTGGTATCCTTCCCTTGTGAGAATGAGCTGACGTCGAGATAAGGGGATTGTCGGCTCACCGTTAGACAGCGACATCGCGGAAATTTCGCTAGGGATAACCTAGTGTGCCTGATGACGGATGAGGGTGTGGCTCGCTAGGAAAGAAGCAAATTTCCGCTTTCCGCAGCGCGAAACTTTTTCCACTGCGCGAACCCCAGGTCCACGCCTCCATGTTTACAGCAAATTCTGCGTAGAGTTTCATATAGTACTAGTCACCATTATATACTACTTTATATTCAACACCTTGGTCACGAATCTGATGATAATTTTTGATACCGTCGTTGTTTGGATTCATTCTGGCCCAATATGGGGGCAAGAAGTCGCCTGGTCGAAATGTCATATTCGGGATTAGCCCTGTGAAACCCCTGAAGACAGAATTTTGCCTAATTTTCCTGTTTGCAATGAATAATTAGTATCGAGAACTATGCTAACCTTGAGTATCTTGACCATAAGTGGATTCCAGATAGAGAAACGAGTGGGTATATCTGAATTAGAAGTGCCTTATATAGATGCAGAGCTATTCGTTTTCCTCTATGAAAGAAAGAGCTTTGCCCTAACACTGGGCGGAGGGATTGGTGCAAGTTTTTATCAGTTGTTCTTATCACTCGTGATCAGTTTGTGATTTGCTTGGCTCCAGGTAATCGATCTTTGCCACAAGACTTGAGATGAACTAGTTTCATGTCATGTGCAGGCTTTTTATTTTTGACCAATGTTTTCTTGATTGGTTTTTCGATGGTCAGATTGGTCAACGAGTTTTCATGAGTTCTAGACTTTTGTTGTTTCTGGGCCACTTCTACTTAAGGATAAGAGTAATTGATTCATCCCTTTTGGGTGCAGCACGCATTCTACTTGCGTTTGTACATTCGTAGGAGGGCACTGGAGTGCGATTTGGCTATATTAGGTTGGAGCATAATGTCGTAGCGTTTTTTTTCAAACGCATAATTTCAATCAGCACAAGTATATCTCGAAAAACCGCTCATACTGCTTGAAAGAACTCTTCCCGCTCTACAAAAACCGTAGTTGTTATTTTTTCAACATTATAAGTAGTACAGTGCGTTGCAAAATCATAGGACACCCCCCAAAAATATGAATATCGCGGCTTATAGAGAACCGTCGTTCAACGACACCTGTGAAATCAGAATTGCCTTTATGAGAAACCTATACTCACAAGTTTACCAGCTTATCCGATTTGTTTTCCGTACTTTTAGATAAATTTTTTGATTTTGGAGCCGTTGCAAAATCATAGGACACCCCTCAGAATTCTCTTTACTGTGAATTTTTTTAACCAACCATCAACGGAAGTAGCTCTTATTAAGTGTATGGCAACTCTATTGGAACTGCGGTTTCGAACGATCACCTCCCCTCCGTGAGTGGAAGCCAGACGATGCTTTTACATGCGCCTTATGGCTCTACCACGACCATCGAAGCCATTTCTGGATGTTCAAGGAAAACCGTAGCCTGGTACTCCAAACTCTCACTACGGATAAAAATAAGAGAGTACCAGGATAATCACAAGACCTCCCCGAAAGGATCGGCATATAACTTCGAAGACTACATCGAACAAAATCACCATGCACGCTCAGTTGGTGTCAGCTCTATCGCAAAAAGCGGATGAAGGCGAAATCATCTACCAAAATCATTGGTATGGACAACTAGCGTAGGGCCTTGCTAAGCCTGCTGCCATGCTCATTAGGCGCTGTGACTGAAAACATGAGAAGAGAAACTCCAGGTGTGGGACTCGGGATGAGGTAACGCATCCCCATATCTTAGGAAACCGCCACGAGATTTTTGGTGAAGGATTATCGTCGAATCCTGGCCTATTCCTCTAATAATGAACAGCATCATCTGCATCATTGAAATCAAGTACTTGTATCCAGAAAAGCGGTCTCAGAGAAACAAAATTTTTATTGACCTGAACGGAAGTTTGCTCAACAAAGCGCTGCCTTGGCCCGGTCTTTCATTGAATTTCTCTTCTCCGCTTTCAGTCACAACGCCTAACGAGCATGGCAGCACGCTTAGCAGGACCCTACGCTAGTTGTCCATACCAATGATTTTGGTAGATGATTTCGCCTTCATCCGCTTTTTGCGATAGAGCTGACACCAACTGAGCGTGCATGGTGATTTTGTTCGATGTAGTCTTCGAAGTTATATGCCGATCCTTTCGGGGAGGTCTTGTGATTATCCTGGTACTCTCTTATTTTTATCCGTAGTGAGAGTTTGGAGTACCAGGCTACGGTTTTCCTTGAACATCCAGAAATGGCTTCGATGGTCGTGGTAGAGCCATAAGGCGCATGTAAAAGCATCGTCTGGCTTCCACTCACGGAGGGGAGGTGATCGTTCGAAACCGCAGTTCCAATAGAGTTGCCATACACTTAATAAGAGCTACTTCCGTTGATGGTTGGTTAAAAAAATTCACAGTAAAGAGAATTCTGAGGGGTGTCCTATGATTTTGCAACGGCTCCAAAATCAAAAAATTTATCTAAAAATACGGAAAACAAATCTGATAAGCTGGCAAACTGTGAGTATAGGTTTTTCATGAAGGCGATTCTGACATTATAGGTTTCGATGAACGACGTTCTCTAGAAGCGAGATATTCATGTTTTTGGGGGGGTGTAGATATTCATGTTTTTGTGGGGTGTCCTATGATTTGCAACGCACTGTAATAGTAGTAGTACTCAGATACTGTACTTAGAATTTGGAAAGTCGAGGGGCAGAAAATCTATTAAGGGGAAAAAACAGTCAAAAGAGGTGTTTCCCAGAATCCATCGCATTCATTGAACCTTACTCCAATCGACCAATCAATTTCAAGTCATATTCACGTCGTACAATTGAGAATAATGAGGACTAAAAACGGGCTCAGTACCTTTTTTGAATTCTAATCCGGTGATTTCTTGCGAAATGCAATCAAAGTTGTAAATAATGACGAAGTGAACATCACTGATTAGTTTTATGTTTTTATTTTTTGCTTCAAATGTTTGTGTATGAAAAATGCAAGCGCTACGATATTATGCTCCAAACGAATACACCCGATGTACAAGTCATTTTTTACTTTCTTCTATTAAATCAAGTAGGTTTTGACAAACTTGGACGGCTATCGTTTGGGCGATCGCCTTCGTCGGAGCCAAAAAAACCGAGTTTCACGACAGTCCGACCAAACGTCGGTGCTACCCTACAGAAGCTCATATCGAACAGGACATTAGGCAGCCGCAAGATGGACTACTCTCCTATACCCATTCCGAATCCTTAGACCTGCCACAAGCAGAACCATTTGCAATTCGTACTCTTCAAATGACTACTGGAAGCCAACCTTGTACGTATAAAGCCCTAACTCCCCCTTATCATAATGCCTTCTTCTCTCTAACTCATTTTTTAGTCTTCTTCGCCTCTAGTTGCAAATTATGAGCTGTACGTGTTGTGAAAGAGAGGTTTAAGCCATCCACGTCTTTGCTCTGTTCTCTTCGACAGCGTGTCCACCTGCCCACTTATCATCTGCATCATACGGATACGTCGTTCCCTCTGTTAAACTGTGAATAATTATTTGTTTTTGATACCCAGCCAGCCAGCTTCAGTGAACCCTCTCTGTGTCTGCAAATAGCTCGGTTGAGGTTAGCGGACCTACTAAGGCTGGTATCCGGAGTCGCGATCCCTCCCCGCGGCTTGCAGTGTTTGGCCGGGGCACTGCCCTTCCTTTCGACCCATACCCCCCCCCCCCTCATTATGCTTCTGTGTCATGTAATCATGACTCTTCTATTGTTAACTTGCTACTTTTTTATGTCCTCATTGTGATAATTACGGCACAATAGTTAAATAAACTAATAAATAAATAAACCCCCCAGAAAAATCCACGACTTTATCATGTTCTCATGTTTATGCTTCGCTGAAGATGTCGTCAAAGCGGAAGGTGCTTTTAATGGGCAAAAGCGGCTCCGGGAAAACGAGCATGCGTTCGACGATAATTTTCGCGAACTACATTGCTCGTGACACGTCTAGGCTTGGACCAACAATGGAAGTTGAACATGCACATGTTCGGTAATTTTTCAATTTTCATTTCCGGACAGAGACTTATTTAATTCTGGTACTCCATACTCCCAAATAAGCACAAATAGGTCTAGAAGGGTTCAGTACTCAGCGCTCCGCTTTCTATCTCTGAATTCTTCGTTTGTATTATCGAGGAAGTTTTGCGATAGGGTGGAGTTTTATGGCTATGGAGTGTGTATCCCTTTATAACCGCAGACTCTCAGTCGACACTGCTGGGTAGAATGAATCAGTCTTGGGGTCCTCCATCCAGTAACGGGGGGGCATTGTGATGCAAGCGTGAAGTGGCTGCCCTCACCCCCCCCACTCCCTAGACTGCCTTCACTCCCCCTGGCTCACAGGGTCCCTAAATTCGAGAAACCGGTGCGCCAGGTGGAGTGAAGGCAGTCTAGGGGTGGGTGAGGGCAGCCACTTGATGACCCCTTACTGGATGAGACCCGCTAGTCTTGTACTGGACCAGTCTCCATCACATCTTTCTCTTTGTACGAGAGTGTGCAGCTCCCGGTTCAAACGATCCCTATAAACAAGACGTTCTTGGATCCAGATCAAGCTTCTGCCTTATCACGGCGCTGCGAGTTCCGATCACACGGAAAGCCGCGGGACTATTACCCTCTTTACGCCCTGCTCCTCGCGAAACCCTCGAGCTGCGATTTTATCAGCTAAAGTTTCCGATGACTGTAATTTGGCCAGAAACTTGCTCTTCTTCGGGGGTAATTCGACCCGTAGAACACGAATATCACATTTGTTTACCGCTAGAACGCCTGGCGCTCGCGTCAGAAGCGCCGGCGCCAAAAGGCGCCAGAACATCTCGGATCCCCAAATTCGCTGGAAAGTTGTCCTCAGAGGTATTTTGACCCGTAGAATATGATTATCACATCAGTTTGTTGCGAGTGAGCCTGTAGCCTGCGCTACGAGCGCCCGCGCAAAACTGTTGTGATAGCGCCGGCGCCTGTGGCGCGGGCGCCAAGCGTTGTCGCGCTAAACCGGTGTGATATTCGTGTTCTACGGGTCGAATTACCCCCGGAAACAAGTTTCTAGCCAAATCCACAGTCATGGACGAATTTCGATCAAAATCCGGCTCAGTTCTTGAGGAGTGGGCAGTAAAGGGTAAATAGTGCCGAAAGAGGTTTATTCCGATAGTGCCATTTTTAGTTTTCTCGGAAATCTTGTTTTACACTTGTGGGATTGTGGTGGTCAGGAGACATTTATGAACAACTACCTATCGTCTCAAAAGGACCAGATTTTCAAAAATGTTCAGGTGGGTTGTCCTAATTCATGTGGAACATCTTTTTCTTGAAATGCTTCTTCTTTTTGCCGGTTCTCATCATTGACCTCTTTCAGGTGTTGATTTATGTATTTGATGTTGAGAGCAGAGAATTTGAGAAGGATCTGGGTTATTATCAGTCCTGTCTTGAAGCCCTTCTTCATAACTCTCCAAATGCTCAGGTAAGGGTGAGGACTCACACTCCTCTTGCTTGGTTTCTTGAACAGTTTGACTCATGTTGTCAAAGTGCGTGTCAGCCTCTTGTGCAACTATACTATTGGAGGGGAAGTATAATCCTTGTAAGTTCAATAAATACGCTGTGTGGAAATATTTCAGAACATTTCTCGATAATTCACAGCAGAAACTGCGAATATCATTTCATTCATCACTTATAGGTCATATGAGGGTACTCTTTATTTCTAATTATGTTCAGGTGTTTTGTCTTATTCATAAAATGGATCTCATCGAGGTAGATCATCGAGACCAGGTCAGTTGCGCGTTCCTCCAAACTTGTTGTTTTCTCTTTTTTTGTATCCAGTGGGTATTTTCCCTCATTTATAGACGTTCGAGGACCGCGCTTCGCTCGTCTTGCGTTTTAGCGAAATGGCTGCTGGTCCAGATCGAGCAAGTACCGTCTGTCAGTGCTTCCGTAGCAGCATTTGGGACGAAACCCTTTATAAAGTAAGTTCTATTCTCCAACTTGCGAATACCTGACGTCATTTCGAAGCTCCAGGCGCCATAGTAATTAAGCTCGGTCAGTGTCGGGGGCAGAGAAGTCTCTGTCACTGTTATTAGCTGAGCAACGCATGACAAGAGGTGCACATAAAGGCGAAGCGACCCGTACCAGGCCATAAGATGTACGGTATTATTCCGTCTTGGTCAACTCGCTTTTTCATGCACACTTTTTGGCAGTTTGCGCTATATTTACCGATTACCATTTCACATGTGGGCTGGAGACTTTCATAATGTTGGAGCATAATATTGCATCGCGGAGTTTAAAGCAAGGCTTTTATAATATTGGAGCGCTTGCATCGCGGAGTTTAAAGCAAAACCCAAAAGCAAAGCCAAGCATAAAACTGGTCAGCGGTGTTCTTTTCGTCATTATTTACGATTCTATTCCGACGGCAATTATTAAATTAAAGGACTGAGAATTTTATTAGACAACTGAACTTTGACACAGAGAAGACTCATAAATGTACAAAACTCAATAAATTACAAGCACATGTGCTAGTCCCTCGTGAAT